AAAAAAAAAACTAGTTTTAAAGCTACCAATCTTGTCAAGAAAATCCTCTCAGTGAGCCTCTATCTTTATTTTGAATGAGGAAGAAGTCAAGTTGTTGGAATAGATTGATCAACCCTTAGTAAGTGTCTAGTGCTTCACTTAAAAATTGAAGATATCCTCAGACTTGGTGGCTGAGTTACAATTCTAAGACAACAGGGGAAGCCTTATTTTAATGCTTGTATATAATGTAATTATTTCCACTATTTCTCTAAATTCTTTTAATCCACAGCACATTTCTGACTCCTAAGTAGAAACATAGACATGGAAGAGAGCTCAGGAAGTTTACTTATTTTTAGATAAATTAGTGAATTACAGGCTACATATAAATAAGAAAATATTTTCCTCTCCCTGTAATTAAAATTTTCAGTTGCAGCACTATGGAACTATTGTTTGTTTAACTAATTAGTCTACATAAGCCTTTTCTTATCCGTAGTTATTTGTATTTATTGAAAAGCACATTTCCTTGGGATTATCCAGTGCTGCATAATGACATTCCAAGACCTTGAGGCACCATCTCCTTCCTCTGTGTGCCTGGAGATTTAAAGATGGTGTTCTCCATGTTTCCATTTCTTTACGACTCTGTACAATGTAATAAAAAAGATTTATTTATGAAATAAGATGGATGGACTTTTGCAGATAAAAGTAAACTAATCAAAATCTATAATTCATTCATCTGAACCTACAAATCAGGGTTCTGCAAGATATTAATCTTGGTCCTAAATAAATCAAATGACAGAGTGAAAAGCTCTTTTATTATAAAGTTGGAATTATATTGAGTATACAACTTCAAATGCTTGTATTTTCCTCCAGATAATACACAAATACAGTTAATGCTTCTTATTCGTGGATTCTGTATTTGCAAATAAGTTTATAAGCTGAGATTTACTTCTAATCCTAAAATCAGTATTTGTGGCACTTTCATGGTCATTTACAAACCTGCCCAGAGCATTGAAAGATTTGAGTCACCTGATGTGCATGTACCCAGCTGATGATGACCTGCCTTCTTGTTTTAATTCCCTTACCATTGTCCTTTGGTATTTGTGGGGGAATTGGTTCAGGACCTTTGCATAAAAAAATCAATGGATGTGCAAGTTACTCATCTAAAACAATATTCACAACTAAAATGTACTACTAATAAAATGGAGCTAAAAGACATTTATAGAATATTTCATCCATCTAAAACCAAATTCATTTTCTTCTCAGTGGCACTTCAAATTTTCTCTAATATAGACCATACAGGTCAAGAAATGAATCTTAGAAAATAAAAAAAAAATAGAGCTAATTCCTTGCTTCTTGTTGGATCATAATAGAAAAAAATTAGAAATTTAAAATGCAGAAACCATACTAATACCTGGGTATTAAATAAATACATTTAAATGAAGAATGTATCACAAAAGAAATCAGGGGAGAATGTTTTAAAAATACTTAGAAACAAATAAGAATAGAGATTCAACATATCAAAATCTGTGGGACAACAGGAAGGCAGTTCTAAGATGCAAGTTTATACCATTGAAATACTACATTAAAAAAATAAAAGGAAACCAAATAAATATCTAACACTATACCTCAAGGCCCTAAAATAGAAGAAAAAAACAAATACCCAAATCAGTACAAGATAGGAAATAATTAAGATTTACAGTTCAAGTAAATTAAATTGAGAGTAAAAAAGAAAAAAATACAAGGATCAATGAAGCAGAGGTGGTTCTCTGAAAAAATAAAAATTAAAAAAGAAAAAAGAAAGAGACAAGACCTAAATCAACAAAATTGGTTATGAAAAGGAGCAAATATCACAATTGATACTTCTGAAATCCAGAGAATCATTAAAAACTACTTTGAAAATTTAGAATCAATTAAGCTAGAAAATCTTGAAGATATTGACAAATTTCTAGAGACATGCAGCCTACACAAATTGAATCATAAGATATAGAAAACTTAAACAGACCAATATCAAACAATGAAATTGAAGCGGTTATTAAAAGTCTTCTAATATAGAAAAGCTCAGGACTGGACATACTCTCAGTTGAGTTCTACCAGAGCTTGAAAGAAGTAATGCCAATCCACCTCAAATTATTGTTTGAAATAGAAAAGGAAAGAATCCTTTCAAGTTCATTCTATAAAAGTATCACCCTGCTTCCACAACCAAAGACAATTCAAGGAAAGAAAACTTCATATACCTGATGGACAGAGCTACAAAAATTCTTAATAACACATGTGCAAATATCATACAAAAACACATTAGGAAGACAGTGTACCATGATCATTTTTTTCTAGCAGTGCATTTAAGATTGGGAGTATTAGAGCATGTGTGTGCCATTTGTGTGTTTGTATGTCAGCGTGTTAATTGTGAAAATAACAATTGCAGCTAAAGATTTTATGGGTCTCTAGATTTGAGCAAATTATTTATAAGGCAATTCACACTGATGGCTTTTGATCAATCATGTACTTATTATGAAATTCAAAACTCTGACATATCTTTGAAGCAGTGCTGAACAGAAAATGTACCAATGCTATCTGACCATTTTAATGGTTAATTCTCCTATTTTCATAAGTATATCGAGTAGGTCACCAACATAATTGCATTTCTACTTTTTTTATCATTTAAGTAGAATACATTTTCCTTAAATCTACTTTCTTTATTTACTCTGTTATGATATCTAAAATTAAAGTTATCATTGTGTTATGACTGACCAAACAGATGATCCAACTTGGTTATGCTAAATGTTAAAAATGAATGGTCCATGTGTAAGTAGTTTAATGTTGAAATGAATGGTTTGGGTCAAACCATTTTTGATTTTGATTTTTTAGTATAGTGTATCATAGCCTGATACTATATTAATAATACTTTACTTTGCCATACTACATTATATTGTAATTTATAGATTAGTAATATTTGAGAACAGAATATAACAACAGATCTTCTGCCAATACTATCAATAACCAGATAAATGATGAAATTGATGGAAAGGTAATTTCAGAAAGGTAATTTAGACATACCTGACATGACTTAATATTACTAATGAATTTTGCCACAGTAGATTTACTCATGTTAAACAGGTAAGACTTTATTTTTAACTACAGTTATTTCTAGTTTTCGAGGAAATGTTGAATATACTATTAAAGACATTGTAAGGCATTCACTAATAATCTTAGATTATGAGTTAGAGGATGCATTAGAAATAAAAAGTTAAAATATATCTATTTTAAGTGAATTGCAAAAGTTCTACCAACTTTAAAAATCAAGGTTATTTAAATTGGCTATTGAAATGGATGTAAACAAATTCTAAAATCATTGATGTTTAAATTCCTTTGTATTTAGGGTCTTCTCTGTGATCTCACCAACATGTTCTAACAAAAATAGAAGTGTAGGTTATATGAGAAGAAAGGCAATAAAACTAAATAAAGATCAGATGATAAGAATAGAAGAAACTTTGGAAAATAAATTAATGTCATTTATAAAAGAATGCTCAGAAGGGACCCAGTAACTAGAAATTCTGTATCTTACAGGTAATAGCACAGTGAAGGGAAAGAATTATTCACAATCTCTGAAAATAGTAGGATAAAGAACAATAGCTAAAATCACAAGAACATAAAGAAGTAAAGAGATAAAAGAAAAAATCTGAATATAAAAGGAAATGGGCAGAAAAGAGACTTGAAGAAAGACAAAAGTTGTTATGGCATTATGTAAAAATGTGGATGTGTAACCGATGTGATTCTGCAACTTGTATTTGGGGTAAAAATGGGAGTTCATAACCCACTTGAATCAAATGTATGAAAGATGATATGTCATGAGCTTTGTAATGTTTTGAACAACCAATAAAAATAAATAAATAAATACATTTTTAAAAAAAAGAAAACCAAAAAAATGTTGTTATATGGAATAAAATTCAAGGGGAGTTCATATACTTCATTAGCCAGAATGATGTATGACTGAATTCATTACAAGTAAAAAGAGTAAATGTTCTTTTTCTTTCAGACTTGATAGTTGATGAAACCATGGCTACTGAGTCTGTTTATAAACCTGTCTGATTTGGTACAATAAGTGACTTTATAGGAATTTGACATTTTACAACTGTGGGAGCTGACTGAACAGTTTTTGTGAAACTGTTATGTGTTCAGATGTAAAAGAAAGAAGGATGTGACATGGAAGAAACAAGGACAAACTGGAACCTACCAGGATGAGCAGGAAGCCCTGGGTACAGTATAGAACTGGCTTTAGTCTCTCTCTCTCTCTCTCTCTCTCTCTCTCTCTCTCTCTCTCTTATTCTTTGATATACATATGACAGTAGAGTGTATTTTGACATATTATACATACATGTAGTGTAACTTCCCATTCTTGTGGTTATACATGATGTGGAGCTTCATTGGTTGTGTATTCATGTGTATTCATATATGAACATAGGAAAGTTATATTTGATTCATTTTATTGTCTTTCCTAATCCCATCCTCCCTTCCTTCCCCTTCCTCAATTCAAATGAACTTCTAATCCGCTACCCGCCCCCCACTATTGTATTTTCTGCTTCAGTTTCTTAATACCTCCATCCCCTCTAATTTCAATGGTGGAAAAGCTGGAAACCTTCTTCATGGTCCAGAGGTTAGAAAACCAGAAAGAGTATCCAGGAATGACTCTTTCTGGGCCAGGCTGCTGAGGATTCATCAGGTGATCCATTGGGATAAGCCACACCACAGGTGAGCTGCAACAAAGCCTTGTGCCACTTCCAAACTTCAGATATGTGAGGCAGGATGCTCTCCTTCCACTTCCACTTTCCAAATCACATGAAATTTTCTTCATGACCAACACTAACCTCGAATTATGCAGGGAATTCTCTGAAACACAGCTTTACCTTAGCTAAATTGATTGACTGCACATACACCAAGGTATAATTTCAAACTTCTATTAAAATGTCAATGAGATGCAAATAAAGATGATGTAGTACAGTTCAGTGGAAACTGTAGGCATGTCAGAATTTCCTGGAAAGCTTGTTAAAACACACACTTTTGGGTTCCACTAGTTTCCACTTTAGTGAGTTATTAGTCAAATTTCTCCAGAGAAATAAAACCAGTATTGCATATGTGTGTACATGCCTATGTATGTACATGCCTGTGTATACCTATGTTGTATCTTATATACTATCTATAGATAAAAAGAGATTTATTTTAAGGAAATTGCTCATGTGATTTCTGGGAGCTGGCAAGTCTGAAGTGCACAGGACAGGTTGGAGACCAGGCAAGAGCTGATATTGCAGCTGAAGTTTGAAGGAATTGTGTCAGAATTTTTTTGTCTCCATTGGGTAATCTCAGAGTTTTTCTTTAAAGACCATCAACTGATTGAATGAATTGCACCACATTATGGAGGATAATCCATTTTATAAATTTTAATCTTAACAATGCCTTCAGAGCAATATCTAGATTGGTATTTGGTCAAATATCTGGGCACCCTGAACTTTGCAAGTTAACACATAAAACTAACACTGGAGGTCTGAAGTAGGACCTGAAAATTTGTATTTCTAACCAGTTACCTCTTACAAGCATGAAACAAAAATTCTTTTCTTCAGTTTGACTGGGCCTATATAAATTTGGCATTTTATACTAGATCAGGGAAATGCCACACATGGATTGGCTTAAACTAATCAGCACTTTTTTGGAAAAGATGAAGACAAGGGGAATTTATACTGGACAAGCAATTGGTCTCCTACAAAATATATGTCATATTAATTGTATTGCAACTTTGCAGAAATTAAATGCTTGTCCCCAGGGCAGTTCCTCCCATGGGCTCAAGAATTTGAAAATTCAAATTATTAATCATAGGACTGTCAGCATATTTGTTGTACTTTAAATGTGGAGAGGGAAGTTTTGCATGCTATATTTGTGGCCACCAGGCATTATTCATGTGGTCACTATGCTCCACAAAATAGAGGTAAGATAGCATGGTTCTTCATTTCAGAATAATTTAATTATGACAAGTACTTATAATCTGCTTAAAGGAAGTTCCCTGTTTTTGCGGGGCCACAATGGCTGTTGCATGCAGACTTTTGAGTGCTGTTAGAAGTGGATTGCAGGAAGAAGCAATCATTTTTACAATCTAAATCCTTCAAACATTGAAATTGCTCCTCTCAAAAGGATACTTTAAGCCACAAAATCAAGCAACAGTTATTCAGTTGTCCAAAAGAAACCATGGATACAAAACCTCTGTTATATTTAATTTTACTCCTTATATTACCATACAAAAAACAATTCCTGTCAATACCTTTAAGCAATAAAGTTGAATAATGAGCTTTTCCACACCATTCCTCAGGGAAGTGTTGCAGAATAATCATCTCTTATGAACTCTTGGGCCATCAAGGGGTTGTGTCCTCCATCATCCCCTTATGAACGATGGTAAGACCATGAGTAATTAGTAAACCCCTGGTGGAACAGTTTGATGACAAGTCCCATTTTTACCATAGAGGACACTGATTGGCTGTGCCTGCCTCCTAGGACTGGTACAGCTGAGTTGCTGAACATGAATGCTGTTGTATCAGTCTCACAAAAATTACAGTTGTCTGGGATGTATACCAAGCATTTTTGGAATTATCAATAATAGTAACATATTTAATTACTAAGGGTGATGTTTGCTCAGGTTGATCTTTCTGGTCTTGGAGATTTCCAAATGAGAGTTTCTATATGCTCAATTATATCACCTTAAGAGTCCAACATAAATTTAATTTAAAAAAGTGTTAAAAATATCATCTAAAAATCCTTTTAATAGCCAGACCATTTCATTATGGTTATGCTTACAATTACTTTCTGTGGCAGTCCCTTGCACATGGACAGTCATATTTCCACCAGTAACTTCTGGGTAGGAGATAGCTCTTTACAAAGAATAAGCAGGTGTCAGTAAGCAGGTCTGAGAGCCTGCCTTAATCATCTGATAATGACAACCCACATCAATTGAAGAAGGACTTTGAATCACAGACACTGTGCTTGATGCTTCACATCTTTCATTTGTTAATTTAGCTTCTTTCACTGACAAAACCACACTGTAAAAGTACAATGGAGACATCTTAATTTTGGATATTAACATTTAGAAATGCAAAATAGTCTATTTTCTTATAACTGATCTGCCCTTTTTAGTAAAGCTTTTGTATTCCTGAAAGATGGGAATTATATGAGAGGAAATAAATTTATTTCTGTTTAGGACAGTTTAATTGTGATATTTAGATAATTTGTTTAGAAACCCAAGTCTCTCCCAGGAAAATGTGCATCTTGCATCTTCCCTCTCATCCTCAGGGCTTCTGGAGGCCTACAAGTGGTGTCAGGTTAGGAACATTATGTGCCCAGGTAGGAGTTGGAAAGCAGAGGGCTTGGGACCTACTAATGAGTGTTTTGCATACTGTATCATTTGGAATCTTGTGCCTTGTGATAGTTAATATTTCAATCGAGCTTTTCTATGCAGAGCTGTTATTTATCAGCAAAGTTGTGGTCATCCTTTGAATGGGAGTCCATCTTTGTCTTGCTGATGCTGTCTGTCACTCAGACTGAAGTTGTCTAAATGAAATCTTTGGCTAAAGGTCCTCAATGTGCTGGCACATTTCAGCAATTCTCTAGGGATACTTTCACAGGACAGCAATATCAGCTGCCTTGGGTAACTGTGTCCTTTTCCAGAGTACCTGTAAACAGTAGATGGCTTCAACATGACCCAGGAGCCAAGAATTTCTGGAAAACTAAGCTTGGGCTTCACTAATGGTTTTACTTTGTTGCAGTTGTCCTACTTCAGTGTATCTGTGTGGTAGTGCTCTGTGAGCTGTTTTTTTTTTTTTTTTTTTTTTCCCTAGAAGCTCTGATAGTATTGGCCTCAAACTCCACCTTTACTTCTAACTTTCAGTTCAATCTGTTTAATTTATCTGCCTGCTCTGGGCTTTCTGTTCATGTAGGGGAGATTAGAACACATATAACACTTACCTCCTTTCCCTCTTCCTTATCTTCTTCTCCCTCCTGGTGGAACTTGATCATAAGACAGCAATGGACTCTCTTCTTTGTGGCTCAATGGCATATGGTTATGCTATTGGTTCCCAATGAGAAGACCTCCCTGTGTCCACAGCCCTTTGAAAACCACTTTGCTGCTCCTTCTGAGAAGAGAAGACATCAGTGCATAAAGTCTTGTAAAACTTTATAAGTAACAAAGAAAAAAGGTGAGAGCAGTTAACAATTTATTCAGAGCAATCTAGCCACTCAATAGTGGGCTGGAGCTTCAGCAGGAAAGACTCCAAAGGAAAAGTGAACAGAGGTTTCTTTGAAAAATTAATAATTTTAGAATGTCTAAATGTTCCACTTTCCTCCTTTTGATTTATAGTATTTTTCCATCTGCATATATTCCATATTCAGTTGATGAAATGATTAATTTTCAGACCTAAGAATCTTGATTAAAGCATTAATCACCATGTAGCAAATTAACTTAAGCCTTAAGATAAAAAAAAAAGTGTGTTAGTTTGTGTTGTCTCTATTTTCCAACCGATTGCTGCCTCTGCATGAAGAAAACAACACCTTAGGTGTGAAATATTAGCACAAAATATCACAGCATCTTGGGAAAATGTTATTTTCTACTCAAACACTTCTACCCAAAGTGTTTCAGCCAACAGTTATACTATTTTAAAAGCCCTCATTTTCATGAGTGGTTAATGTTCTTTGTACTTTAGTTTGGGTCTTGAAAAAAATCAGGCTCTCTATGTAGCACTCTGCTGGGTAACAAATCCCAACATTGTTAATGCTTAGAATTGTCAAACAGAAACAGAAATTCTTTGGAAACAAATTCATCCATGCTAGAGATTGTATTTGCCATTGAAATGACAGCTTAGATCTTTGCCTTTTTAAAACAAAACAAAACAAAACAATCAATATACTTGAATATAGAGAAAATGCTATAAAGTTCAAGTAGAGAATTTTATTCAATTAAATTTAATGTATGCACTGGAAAATTCTATTCATATACTAAAAATCAAGTATATCTGACATTTGGAATTATCTTCCTAATATGTAATCTCATATTTATTTGAAACAATTTCTTTAAGCTTAAAAAAAAGGAAAATGGAAGTAATGATAATTTGAATGTGCCTCAAGTTCATGCAGAAACTTGATCTCCAGTGAAGCAGTGTTGATGCTTGGGGAGTTGGGGGTAACTTTAAAAGGCAACTAGCACAGGGGGATTTGCTTGTATGAGAGGATTTATGTCATTATTATGGAGTGAATGAATCATCACAGGAGTCCATTCACAGCAAAAGTGAGCTTGTCCCTGTCTTCCTTTCTTGCCCACTCTACCTTCTGCCATGGGATGACACAGCACAAAGGCTCCAGATGTTCATGTCCTGCATTTGGACTTCCCAGCCTCCAAAGCTATGCACTAAATAAGTTTCTTTACTTTATAAATTTCCTGGTCTGTGTTATTCTATTATAACAATTCAAAATGCACTAAGAAAGAAGTCCTCCAAAAAGATGAGCTAAACAAAATGAAATTACTTTTTAGAATTAAATCAGGATTTTTTTTTAACTGATTGTGGTTATATACTCATATGTTTCAGTTACAGAGAAACTTGAAATAATAACATTTGAAGACAATGCTTCCTTCTTCTAAATGTAATTATTTGTTATTTGGAGGAACTATTTTATGTTTTCTTTTTTTTCCAGAAGGATAAGGTAAGTATCAAAGGAAAGAT